TATTTAGTGTAGATGGACATGATGCCTTTATTTTATTTATTTTTATGTTGTGCTGGGGATCGAACCCAGTGCCTCACATGTGCTAGGCAAGCACTCTTTCACTGTATTATTTCTTTATAGTGAAAACTTCAGACCCTTCTTGCTTTTGAAATGTATATTTTCATTTTCTGTAGTCACCCTGCTATGTGCAAGAGGGATTTGAGAAGCACTGTTCTTCAACATTCGTTCCCTAGCCTTTTTGAGTGTTACTGTGGATCCCAGTGAATAACCTTAATAATCCTCATTCTGCCCCCTTTCCAGCTGGATACTGGCTTGTGCTTTAGCTATCATTCTGTCCCTTAGCTCAGCTAACTCCAGGAGTGACCTAGAAAAAGAGACAGCCTACTGAGAGAATTTGAGATTTAATACTTTGTTTTCAAGGCAAAAAGAACACTGAAGATCATGACATGCTCATTCCTGTGTTGGTTGGTTTACTACTGAAAGTTGTCTCCCTTTTGTGCATTCTGGAGTGAAGAGAGGGTCCCTAGACAAATCTCACTAATTTAAATTCATGCCAAACCCACTCTGAATTAATAAAGATATAAAATTTAAATAATCAGTTCCTGTTTCTTAACTTTCAATTATATAGATTAGGTACCACCAATGCAAATAGTATCTTTAGAAGCTCTGCTATGATGGTAATAACTATTTCATCAAATTATGAAATTATCAACCAAAATTATAAAATTATCAACCAATCCAGCCCTAGCAGATTACGTGTGGGGTTGGGTACTGGGGTTTGAACCCAGGGCTTCTTGCATCCTAGGGAAGTGCTCTACCATTGAACTACTTTCCTAGCCCTTTTTATTTTATTTTGAGACAAGGTCTCCCTAAGTTGCCGAGTCTGGCCTGGAACTTGTAGTCCTCCTGCCTCAACCTCCTGAGTTGTTGGGATTATAGGCATGTGCCAGGGTGCCCCATTAATTTTTGAAGAATTAATGTGGCATTAATCAATGAAATTTACTATTGAATAGAATAATTGTGATATATTCAGATTTTGGAGAGAGAAAATGAACGAGAGTGTTTTAACAACCCTCACTAACCCTAGAGTGCAATTATGGTCTAACTCTTAACTGCCTTCTCAATCATCTCCCAAGATGCCAATGTCCGGAGGTACCTTCAGCTAACGCAGTCAGAACTCAGCAGCTACCATAGGAAAGAGAAGCAGCTGTACCTGGGCATGTTTGGTTAAAAAAGAAGAATGATGCGCTTCCATTTGAACTTAGGTGAACCATTAAAGACCCATCAAGGGGAAACCTGAGCCTGAGCAAGAGAAATTAACTGTATACCTCTGACCCAGGTGGATTTCTGTTTTGTTTACTATTCTGCACAAACTTTGTATTACTTAGACCATCTGTGTCTGTCTTTTTTTTTTTTTTTTTCCCTATCCACCTGTTTATTTACATGACTTTCAATATATGTTATTGTTGGCAATGTTTGCCTTGAAAAATAACCAGAAAACATTCATCAGCTACAGGTGGAATTAATCGTATTTCTAGCATAGATTTAATGGTAGATGTTGCTAGGTATATTCATATTCAGAGGAGAATGCTAACAGAGGATGAAATGGTAAGGATAAGCAGAAAGCAGTTTCTTTCTTTGTTTTCTTAGATACCCAAAGCCAAACAGGAAAATATATTTTTTGTGGAACTAGACAATTATAAATTGGATCCAAATGTATTTAAGCGAAAGATTTGAAATTAATCATTTTTATTTAAATTAATTCCTTTTTCTCTTCATATTTCACGAACATTCAGATTCTTTCCCCCCCACAAAAATATATCTAGTTTCTCTTTTTCCCCTGGTAATTCTAGTTCTTGCTTTTGCGTGTACTCTTAAAAGTTTTGGAGTCATATATTTAAGTATTTATTTAATAACTCTTCAGCCCTTGTATTTCTCATTAAAAAAAAATGCCTGAGTAAATGTTTAGTTTTAGTTTTTAATAGGTGCACATCTATAGTATTTTTGTTTCTCTAAAAAAACTTAGGCTATATTACCAAGTCTTCTAGAAACAATACCATGTAGAGCAGGATAAAAACTTTAATACTTTCTTTACCTGTCCTTGTATTTTGTAAGAGCACAGGTCCTTGTGGAGGAGGGCAACAATAAGGAAGAGCTGTGATTGCTTAGTGTCTTGAAAGCACCTGATGGAACTCTTTGGAAGCTGTTAGGCAGTGGTGCAGGTTGCAGATCTTTGCTATTCTGGCTCAGTAGAATGCTCCATCAACTAGGAGCTCCTTTGTCATTCTATTTACTCATTGTGGATAATGTCTGCAATGATGTAGGTACTAAATAGTAGGTGAGATCATACATCACACAATCCACCTTTGTAAGGAGAAGTAATATGCATGTGTCATTATCCAGTATAGAACCATAAAACAAAACAGATTTCAGAAAAGAAAAAACTAAACACCCTCGTCCCTTATCAACAACCCAGTGCATTAAACTCCTCTTTGTTCCTCTCTATACCTTTAAATAACTTGACCGTCAGCTTACAGCAGAAAGTTTTTCTACCAAATAATCATATGGAATCCAAAGACAGAACTAAAAAAAGTATAGGGTTACTGGTGAAATTTTGTCATGGTGAATCTTATCAAGTTTAGCCAGGTTATCCTTGATGTTTCCTGTAGTAATTTTTCCATCCACTGATTCCTACCCTTCTTCTTGTTGGAGTTGAAATTAAGTCCAATCTCTTTCATCCCCCACTGGAAGACCTGTTTACAGTGGTTCCTATACCAACTGACATGACCCCATGAATATAGTATGCCTTACTATGCTTTAAATTTTTTTTTTAATTTTATCATGGTTGCATGTTTTGTTTGGGGTTTTGCTTTATGATGTTCTATGGTATTTTAAATTTTTTTCAAAAACAATGTTACATTAAGCTGTTTTCTGTATCAATGAGGAAAAAATAAAACTGGTATTTAAAAATGCATTTTAGAAATTTATTTCATTAATTTTCTTCTTAGCACTACTAAGAGAGAAGAGAGCACAGCGCTTAGGTTACATTTCAGGTTTTATTTCAGAGGCTTGCTCTCAAAGATGTTAATGAACAGAAAAGTGGACAAAGGAATGCAGTCTCATTCAGGTCTTGAGGGGTTCTGACAAGCCTGCATCCTGATGGAATTGGCCAGGGGTCCCTAAATCTCTGTATTCAAGTTTGTAGAGGGGGAGGCCACTCTCTTTACCAARCCTTAATTGTTTCCACAGGATTTAATGATTTCGAATGAGGACACGAAGCATTCATGGTGATATGAAGGGTCATATTTAGGCACATGTAAGACAATTAGAAACTTTGTTTCCCAAATTCAGAACCACCACCTTCACAGTTTGCCTGAACCCTGTACTACCTGTACTAACATGYAGTCACTACTTTATTTGTGGACTGGTGTAGCTCAGTGATAGAGTGCCTAGCACATTCTAGACCCTAGGTTTGATTCCTAATACTGCTAAAAATTTTTTTAATATGTATTTTTATTTAAATTTTATATTTTTAGGGACAGGATCTCATTATGTTACCCAGGCTGGCCTGAAACTCTTGATTGATCCTCCTGCTTCAGCTTCCTGTGTAGCTGGGACTAAAGATGTGTACCACCTTGTCTGGCTTTAGAATTCACTTAGCAATAAAAATGTTAAGCCTTATCAACTTTCACTTCCCATATTGTCCTAGTAAGAAGTTTCATTTGTTTTTCTTCAGGACTGGGCAATAAACCCAGGGCTGTGCATAAGCTAGACAAGTGCTCTACCAATTGAGCTCCTTCCCCAGCCCTTTTTATTTATCTTGAGATGGGGTCTCTCTAAGTTACCCAGGCTGACCTTGAACTTGGGATCCTCCTACTTCAGCCTGTGAGTACCTGAGAAGCAGTGAAGAGGCTTTCTATGGCCCAGTCTTTGCTGCTCAGCTCTCTTTACTATAATTCCAAAACAGTTTGCTAGGAAGAATTTATAGTGCAGACTATGATATATGGACCCCAAAAGATAAAAGGGTTTTTTTTWAATTGTTTTTTCACCTTTCCCTCCCACCCTGCTTTATTTGCACTCAGGTCCCTGAGGGAGACACCTAATCAGTTCTACTGATCAGTTTTTCCACCACCTGGCAGACCCTTTCTCCTACATTTCTAGAGCTCTTTTTCCCCATCTGACATCAACACCCTAAATTCCCATTTCTTTGCTCCCTCCACTGACAATAGCAACSTATATGACTTTGGGTGACTAATAAAACCTCTCTAGGGTGCTGTTACCATGCTTTTGAAGTGAGGGAATGGGACCAGATCAACTGTAATATCCTCACATGCAGAATGTCTTGCTTTAGCTATCCCAAGCAGCCACTATTTCTAACCTCAACAGGCCCTCAACCTCCCTCCACAATTCCACCATCATGAAACTGTTTTCTGCCTTTCAATTTTTCATCTTTGGACACCTCGKTTCATATTTACAATATGTAGGCAGAATTTTCAAGTCTTTAACACAGTGTCTTTCATTGAAACAATCAAAATTCTTTCTACACAGACAGCAAAGGTGACAAGGAAACAAAACCAAACACTCAAAAGAACAAGAAAACAATTTCCAGTTCTTGGCTAACTATGTTCAACGATATTTTAGACCAGCATATCACGCATAGTGCCTGGAATCAAAAGCTGGTTCAAATCCTGATTTGCCCCTTAGTCAATTCTGTGACCTTGAACAAGTAAACTTGGGGCTTTTTGATTTTGGTACCTGGGATTGAATGCAGGGGTGCTTAACTACTGAGCCACATCTTCAGACCTTTTTTTATTTTATTTAGAGACAAGGTCTGAGTTGCTGAGGCTGGTCTCAACTTCCTGAGCCGTTGGGATTACTGGTGTGTGCCACCGCACCAGGCTAACTTGGGTTTGAGCCTCAAGTTTCCTCTGAAAAAAATAGGTGGCTAATACACCACAAAGTGAAGAAGTAAATGAGTTTTCTATTAAGTACCCAATACAGCCCAAAACACAAGAGCTCAACTACAATAATAAACCATAATTGTGTAAGATTCCCCAAGTTTACAATGCCTTCTGSTATCTCACTTTTTTCCTCATAAGTGATCAGGCCCCCACTCCTTCCCCAAGTACAAATGTCAGCTAAAGAACTGGACGAAAGAGACTGGGTTGTGGCTCAGTGGTAGAGTACTCACTTAGCATGCATGAGGCACTGGKTTCGATCCTCTGCACCACATAAAAATAAAATAAAAAGGGGCTGGGGATATAGCTCACTTGGTATTGCTTGCCTAGCATGCACAGGGCCCTGGGTTCAATCCCTGGCTCCACAAATAAATARATAGATAGATAGATAGATAAATAATAATAAAATAAAGTAAATGAAGAACTGGATGAAAGACACAAAGCCATACAAGTTTGTGGAAGAAACAAGCCAACATCAATTCAAAGAGATAATTTCACTGCTAGTTTTATGTTCCAGAATGTGGAATAAGAAGTGATTACACCTCAGGAAAATTCCCAGTACCCTTGGGGAGAGCTGGCTGATCTGTTCTGGCCCATAAAGTCCTGCATATCTGGCTGGATAAAGAAAACAGTAGGAACCTTCAGGCCAGGCAGAACCTTCATTTGTCACCCAACAGGAGTGACAAGATGCTTCCAACCTCTGTGCTGCCATCTAACGATGTTAAGAGCAGGGCTGGTATCAGCTCATGCTCACCCAGATATTAGTTTTTGGAGCCAAGTACAAAATCTTTGGGTGGTCCACCACTGCTCTGTCTCTCTGCTGTTGGAGAACCAGGGAGGGGCTGCACCCCTAGAACAGAGCCAGCTTCTGGATCTGGTTTGCTGCGTTTGGCCAGATCCTCATTGTGAGCCTTGCGGATGTGTCGGTAGAGGTCCCCTGACTGCGTGTAGCTGCGCAGACAGTAGCGGCACTCATAGGGTCGCTCCCGTGTGTGCACGGTGGCATGTCGCCGCAGTGTATAAGAGCATGAGAAGGTCTTCCCACATGTCTTGCAAGTGGGAACATCCTCAGTAAAAACCCCAAAGTTTCCTGGGGCTGCTTCATACTCAGAAGGTGGGTAAAGTGGCTCATGTAGGGCTGGGGGTGCAGGCAGGGGTGAGGTCACCAGTCCTCGATGATATTGCCCTGGACCAGGCAGCAGATGGTAGGGTAGATGAGGGTCTGTAGGCATGAAGTGGTCGCTTGGCCCATCCTCCAGTCCTGTTGCCCCTGGTTCCTCAAAAGCCTCTGGCTGGGAGGGCTGTCCTCCATACACTGGTCTTCCAGGTGGGAACAATCCCTCAGGACCCTGAGTCTGTTCCTCTGCTACATCAGTCTCCTCATCAGAGATCACAATAGCTTCTACTTTCACCTGGACCAGCTCAGCTTCTGCTGGAGCTGGAGCCTGGGATGAAACTGGGGCTGAGACTGGGGTTGGAGCTGGAGCTGAAGCTGGAGGATAGAATCCTTGCAAAGGTCCTCCAGTATCCCTTGGTTCCACCACCCTCAGGCTCTCAGGACCCACATCAAGAGGAGTCAGGGGTTCCACTGAAACTGTTGGGAGGCCAGAAGAGAAGTAGTTTGCAGGAATGGTTTCTGTGGAGCTACTGGGACTGGCAAGAGAAACAGAGACATCAACTACTGGTGGTGGAGGTGCCCGCAGATGTGGTGAGTCAACCTCCATGCCAGGCTGTGTAGTGTCAGCCCCACCAGGCAATGGTGGTTCATCTGGAGGACGCACAGTAGGTAAAGGAGCAGCCAGGCTTTTCCATTCCTCTTTGCCCCAATGGCCTGATGTCTCAGGGGATGCCAACAAAGGCCGGGGGCCATGGGAAGTGCTGGACAAAAACTCCAAACTAGGGGGCTGTGAATTGGTTTCTTCCTCCTTCTTGGTACTGTCTGCCTCTGCCAGGGCCCGGGCTTGCAGCCTCTGCTTACACACTTTGACRATGTCATTCATATGCAAGTAGCTGGCAGCTGCCAACACATCCTCAAGAGGGGTATCTCCCCTCAGGGCCAGCTGGCCAGCATACATAAAGTCCAGAAGCAGCCCAAAAGCAGGGGCCGTGACAATCTCGTTGTGAATACACACCAGATCCCTCTTGTCCAATTCCCGCTCCTTGTAAAAAAGCTGAAAGAATGGGCTGCAGGAGGCCAGCACAGCCCGATGTGCCAAGAACTGGGTGCTACCCACCATCACGGTGCAGTCACAAAGGAAACCCTGGGACCGCTGCTCCCGGAGGCTCTGCAGCAGCTGTTGACTGTGTTCTGGGAACTCCATAGCACCCCACGAAAGGGAGGGCGCCCAAGTAAGGTCCCCACCAGTGGCTCCCTGGGAAGAGAGGACAGTGGGTTAGGGCAGGTAACTTCCCCAGCAGCCTTAAACGTTAGTCTTTAACTACCGCTCACCACCCCAAGGCCTCTGGCAACACAGACCGCACCCCAAGACGCTCCCTTTAAGTTTCTACCCTTCTTTTTCCTACGTCACACCCAAAGATCTCCTACTAGCTCCGCCCCCTCAAACTAACCTTAGGATCAGGCCCCGCCTCCGGTCGAAAAAGGCCCTGCCCCCGGAAGTCCCGCCCCCTAGCCAGCCTCGGCTTCCTCGGTTGCCACCCGGTCGCTTCCAGCGGCTCCTCCAACTAGGAGTCTGTTTTGCTCCCAGGCTTTCCGGAGCGATGCCTTTACGCTCCACTCCGAGAACTCCCTGAGCCTCTCCCTTTCGCTTTCCAGGTGCTAAGGACTCCTGGGGTGGGAACTAGCAGAGAAAGCTGATCCCTCACCACCACCAGCAGCCACCAGGCGAGCTCCGCCCCTTCCCACCTTCTCAGTGTTAATTGGTTCAAGCTCTCCTTCCCSCGTTGAGGATTGGCCAGATGTCCACTGTCCCGCCCCTCTCCGGCCGGCGTGTCCAAGTGGGTGCTCGGATCCATCGCTCAGACAGATAGGAGCCCGATTGGTTATCACTCTTGTCTTGAGCTTTTCCTCTTCGTCCCKCCTTCTTTGCCTCAGAGCCCTCGGGATTGGCTGAACTGCTCAGTCTACCGAGGCATCAGGCGGGCTGGGACCCCTAAGAGCACTATATCAGCAACTACACCTTGTTGTGCGGGAGTGAACAGCACGTCACCTTACTATAGTGTGACCGGGAAAAGGAGGAATAAAAATCCAATGTGGTACTCTGGAGACCCGGGCCTTAGGCTTTGCAGAAACCATGGGCAAGAGTCACACACGCCTCCCTGACCGGCAGTTATCTCCTGAAGGTCCCTTGCTCAAATATTCCTTGATGTCCCCATCTGCTCCACTCCTCCAATCTAATGGTCTCAGGGCCTCTGGCTTAGTAATGGTGGTGTCAGGGATCTAGCAGCTGTCAGAATGTTGCGTCCTCAGCCTAGACTATATGGGCAACTTCAAATGAAGAGGATAGACTGTCCTCTCTGTCCAGAGGTACTGGGCAGGTGCTGGTAGGAAAGCGTTAGGGCTTTACAGTATCACCGTGTGCGTGGTGACACATGACTGTAATCCCAGCCACTCAAGGTTGAGGCTGGTGGGTCCCAAATCAGAGACCAATCTGGGCAATTTAGCAAGACCCTGTCTCAAAAACAAACAAACAAAAAACCTGGCCTGGGTTGTAGCTCAGCGGTAGAGCGCCCCTGGTTTCAAGCCCCACCAGCGAAATAAATAAATAAAATAAACATATAAATAATAAATATCCCAGGATAGGAGATTTTTAAAGTGTGGCTACTTCTAGGGCTGGGATTGTGGCTCAGTGGTAGAGCGCCCGCCTAGAGCATGCGAGGCCCTGGGTTCCATCCTCAGCACCACATATAAATAAATAAATAAAAACAAAGGTATTGTGTACAACTAAAATAAATAAATATATTTTTTAAAAATGTGGCTACTTCTAGCAGGGCACCCTGGTGCATGACTTTAAGCCCAGTAAAGGATGGCAATTTCGAGGCCAGCCTGGGCAATTTAGCGGCCAGCCTGGGCAATTTAGCAAGATTCTGTCTCAAAATTAAAAAGGGCTGGGTATCAGGCGCCATGGGTACTACTGTAATCCCAGCGATTGAGGCTGAGGCAGCAGGATCTCAAGTTCCAAGGCCAGCCTTGGCAATTAAGCAAGAAAGACCTTGTCTAAAATTTTTAAAAACGGGTGGTGGTGTGGCTAGGGATGTAGCTCACCAGCTGAGTGTCCATGAGTTTAATCCCCAATGCCATGGAAAATAAATTAAAACATGGCTACTTCTGAAGAAATCTCAGAATATTTCAGTTTCCAGACATGCAGAGGAAAGGGCTATAAACTATGAGTTGGTGTTTTCCTGCCTCCAGTCTGACTCCAGCAGCAATGTGGTTGACAGCATTTTCAGAGAAGTATCTCAGTCCTCCCATCTCCTTCACCCACCACATCAAGCACTTCCATTTTGTTCTTGAATCAAACCTCCAAACAGACCCAACCAGAATTATAGAGAGTTCCTCTATCCAGCATTCTTGTGATAGATACAAGCATCTTAGCTTGAGATCACACCTCTACTCTACCCATTCTCACAAGTCATATTAAAAAAAAATGTATTAATCCACCTCAAAATGATGACAATAAGCCAACTACTGGTGGGTATTTTTTTGGCGGGGAGGGTGCTGGGGTTTGACCCAGGGCTTTGCTCATGCTAAGCACATACTCTACTACTGAACTATAGGTGTCAAAGCCCTAATATTTTCATTTTTTTGTGAAAAATAACTTTATTTACCAAATAAAAAATCTGTAGTGAGAATAAGTGACATTGATTTGCATTTTTTCACATCTCTGTAGTATCTAGGTTAATAGAAGAAAGATAGATTTTCACATCTGTTTCTGTTTTCATCTATTATGATATATTTTTTTAAATTTTTTTTTAGATGTTGACGGACCTTTATTTTATTCATTTATTTATATGTGGTGCTGAGAATCGAACCCAGGGCTTCACACATGCTAGGCAAGTGCTCTACCACCAAGCCACAACTCCAGCCCCTATTGTTTGTTTTTGTTTTTGTTTGTTTTAGTACCAAGAATTGAACTCAGGGGCACTCAGCCACTGAGCCACATGCCCAGCTCTATTTTCTTTTATTTAGAGACTGAGTCTCATTGATTGGTTTACACCTCAATGACAGGTGCTGAAGCTAGCTTTGAACTTGGGATCCTCCTGCCTCAGCCTCCCAAGCCTCTAGGATTATTGGTGGGTACCACCACACCCTGCTGACATATTGTTTTGATGTGAGTACATGAAGAAAATCTGATCTCACAGATATGTAACTGAAGAGGATCCCATCAATCTTTTGGAATTGTCTTTCAGGACTGACTCAGAAGTGGCACACCTATAATCTCAGTGAATTGAAAGGATGAGTCAGGAGGATCACAAATTGGAGGCAGGCTGGGAAATTTAGCCAGACTGTCTCAAAATAAAAAAGAAGTGGCTGGTTTTATGGCTCAGTGGTAGAGTGATTGCCTAGCACATCTGATTTTCAGCAACACATAAAAAGAAAGAAAGAAAGAAAGATTGATTGGGGGGAAAGAATGGTTTGTTTGTTTGTTTATCTATCATCTATCTATCTATTTATTTATTTATGTGGTGCTGGGGATTGAACCCAGGGCCTTGTGCATGTGATCTTTATTTTATTTATTTATAGGTGATGCTCAGATTCAAGCCCAATGGCTCACACATGCAAGCCAAGTGCGCTACCACTGAGCCACAGTCCCAGCTCATCTCCAGCTCTATTTTATATTTTATTTAAAGACAGGGTCTCACTGAGTTTGTTTAGTGCCTTGCCATTGCTGAGGCTGGCTTTGAGCTCATGATCCTCCTGCCTCAGCCTCCTGAGTGGATGGGATTACCTGGGATTACTGTCATGYGCTACTGCATCAGGCTTTTTTTTTTTCTTTTACATACATGACAATAGTAGAATGCATTACAATCATAATTATGCATTCACAATACCATTTTCATAACTTTTATATATATATATATATATATATATATATATTTAGTTGTCAATGGACATTAATTTTATTTATTTATTTATTTATATGTGGTGTTGAGAATCAAACCCAGTACCCCACATATGCCAGGCAAGTGCTCTACCATTGAGCCACAACCTCATCCCTCCCCAGGTCTTTTATTTTTTAATTGTTTATTTTTTATTTTGAGACAAGTCCTCTTTAAATTGCTGAGGTTGGCCTTTAACTTGTGATCCGCCTATCTCAGCCTCCCCAGTTGTTGTTATTACAGGCATTTGCCACCACATCCAGCTACCAAGCTGCCTTGGTCTTTTTGGTGATCAGTCTCCACCCTGAAGCTACCCTAGGGGCCCCTAATCACCATTTATGTCATTAGCATATAAAAGGTCAATCTTTACTCCAAAGATTCAAAGCATCTTAGAAGTCCAAATAAACCAAACTAATAAAAATTCGGCAGATTAGTGCTGATGAAGAAGATATTAGAACAACCAGAATTCTAACACATAAATTATATAATATACCACACAGATACAATAAATGCAAGAACACTGATAATTGAATAGGGCAGTGTCAGTAAGCCTATCATATCAGCAACTCAGGAGGTTGAGGTAGGAGGTTTGCAATTTTGACGCTAGTTGAGGCATTTGAAGACACTGTCTCAAAATTAATTTCATGGGTTGGGGTTGTGGCTGAGCAGTAGAGCGCTCGTCTAGCATAAGTGAAGCCCTGGGTTTGATCCTCAGCACCATATAAAAATAAATAAATAAAATAAAGGTATTATGTCCAACTACAACTAAATTTAAAAAAAAAAAATTTAAAAATTTAAAAATAAAATTATCTTGGGGCTGGGGATGTGGCTCAAGCGGTAGCGTGCTTGCCTGACATGCCTGCGGCCCGGGTTTGATCCTCAGCACCACATACAAACAAAGATGTTGTGTCTGCTAAATACTAAAAAAAATAAATAAATATTAAAAAAATTCTCTCTCTCACTCTCTCTTAAAAAAAATATATAATATATATATAAACACAAAAAAACCCAAAATTATCTGATGATGTATCTTAAAAGTAAAACCGTACTGTGTTTGATTTCTAGCACAACAAACAAAAACCAAAAGAAAAAACCCACACTTACAATAGTAAGTAGGTAAAGTAACTAGGAAGTGATCAGTTTTGAGTATATATTTCCTTTCTCCCTCCCCACCCCCTTCTCCCYCTATCCCCTCTCTTCTTGGGACTGGGGAATTAACTCAGGGTGCTTTACCACTGAGCTACATTTCCAATGCTTTTTATTTTTATTATTTTTGGAGGCGGGTACCAGGGATAGAACTCAGGGGCACTCGACCACTGAGCCACATCCCCTGCCCTATTTGTATTTTTATTATTTGTATTTTTTTATTTTAAGATAGATTCTCCCTACCTTGCTGAGTTACTCACTAAATTGTCTAGGCTGGCCTAGCACTTGCCATCCTCCTGCCTCAGTCTTCTGAGTTAAGATAAAAGGCGCGCACTACCATGCMGGGCAAATGATTTACTTTTGAATAATGGCTGTGTTTAAAGAACAGCTTGCTTAATTCCTGAAATTTTAGGGAGTGGTTATTGCTACCCAGTACTAGCCAGCTCCAGCACATTGAACGTCAGCAGATTAGGTCCTTGCAGGGAGGCTGGCCTGGAAAGGGGGMGAGGTGGGAGAAAGCGCAGAGTTGAGAGGGTACAGATTCTCAGTTCTGTAGCATCCCCCCACAACCCARCCCCACTCTGGTGTGTGCGCCCGCGCCCCAGGAGTACAATAATAAGGTTTCCTCTCCAGGGAGC